AACAGAAGGTGAGATGGCAGATAACTGAGTTAAAAAGTCAGAAAAGTCAGAGAGAAAGGAAGGATTTGGTTTGGGGGGGCGGTAGATTATGGCAGTGACCAGAGGAGTGGGACCAGAGAGTTTGAAAGTGATGTGTTCAAAGGACTGAGCAGCAGGGATGGAGATGGTGGATGTTTTAATGTCCTTTCTGTACACTGCAGCAACACCACCTCCCCGCCCCTCAGGTCGGGGTTTGTCCATGTATGTATATCCTGTGGGTGTGGTCTGGTTGAGTGAGAAATAGTCCAGAGGTTTGTGCCAGGTTTCAGTGATACAGAGGAAATCCAGGTTATTGTCAGTTATGAATTCATTTAAAATTAGGCTTTTATTGTTGAGTGAGCGGGTGTTGAGCAAAGCCAGTTTCAGGTGACTGCTTCGTGATGGGTTGTGAGGACCGAGGAAGGGGGCGGAGATTAGATAGGTGCATGTGTCGTTTGTTGTGAAGACGTAATGAGGAAGTTGAGCAGGACCAGATGGATGGAATAGAGTTTGGGGTTGAAAAGTTGTAATTGAACATACTAATAATGAATTTAATATTTCCCTTTATAGCATATGAAATATTGCACAGACTTATAGAAAGAATGCTTTAAAAGCATATTTGCATGTTTAATTATGCCTATAGATCATATGATAGTGAATGCATAGTGATTGTGTTTTGTCCACAAAGCCAAAATTAGGGTAAAAGGTTTATCTTGTGCACACAGCAGTATTTGGGCTTAAAAACATTATTGTAGCCTTAAAATCCTATTGTTTTTTTCTTGTTTCTCTCCCTGTCTTTTTGTTATTTTTCTAAATTTGCACACCAACCTCCACCCATCCAGCATATCCCTGGAAAACACTGGTTAGAGGAAGTTAACTACTGCTTTTAATGAAGCCAAACTGAAATATAAATATCCTGACAGAAGAAGGTTACACTGTAAAGTGAAGCACTAAGCGCCTCTGGAGGCTCAGCACCACATGACCCAGGAGGATTAGCATTCTGCCAACACACCACAAACTCTGTCACACACTGAGGAAAGCGCGAGGGAGGAATCACATTTGATTTCACAGGTGGAGCAGAAACGTCTGTATGAAAAGGAGCTCGTCTCTGACCCTCCACAAGTCTGATCTGATTCTGACAAGAATGTGATCGTCTGAAAGCTAACTTCTTTTTTGTTCCACTGACAATAGAAACTACAATAATGCATTTGGAAGTCTGAGTGGAGCTAAACAATCTGCCTTCTGTTCCAAGGAATTACACAATATCACACACACACACACTTTTTGGACAGGAGAGAGGCCAGGAGAATCCAGTGCATTCGTTTTGCTGTTACACACAAGCTTTAGATGGTAAGCGGATTATATATAATTCTATTTTATTTGTCAAATCAGAACAAAAGTTATATCAGCACACTTTTCAAATAGAGCTGGTAGGGTTAGGTGTGTGACGTTGTAGGATTTACAATTGCTAAGTATAAATTACTATACAATTACTTTGTTCATTAAATCCTGTAGGCCAGAATTAATATTTAGTTTCCACAGCAATGATTGGAGTGGACATTTGAAGCCTGTCTATCAGTGACTTCCAGTCTTGAACCCTTGGTGACTCGATGTGACCACGTCACAGTGGGGCTCAGTCCTCAAGTCCAGAGGGTGGACATCTGGATTGAGCCTTAGTCTTTATGTTTCTTTGTTTCATTGCCAGTTTGTCTTTGTCTACACGTGAAGTGTTCCAGTAAGTCTTCCCAGTAAGTCATGGTTATCACTGTAAGTTATAAATGGAAAGTAGAAAAATCAAAAGCCAGCCTGTGCAGACAGATGAGTCCATACAAGACTTTTCTTTAAAGATTGCAGGATTGCAGCAGAGGAGTGATTTAAAAACATTGGCTGCAACTTTACTAGACTGATAGTCTTTCTCTGCAGCACAAACAGAGGCCTGTTGAGATCATAAGACATCATTTGTGCCCATAAATGAGGAGCACTGCTGGGCATGCACAGTGAGAGCGCTCTGTGTTCATGTCAGCAGGGTTTTATTTTCAAGATATCTCTATAATGGCAAGTATGGGGGTTATTGCCTGGTAAAGGCTTTTGAAAATGTTGGCAAAATTGGCCTATCATCAGCTCCCAGGATGCCGTTCAGTGCTGACAGTCTTACTCATGCAATGTTTGAAGAATGTACATACACTTTTCTCTCAACAACACCCTGTTTCATAGTCACATACACAGTCCTTCAAGCTGCCCAGTAGTCTGTGTTGCAAAAGGAGGTGGTCAGGCTGAATGAAATCCATAAAATGTGGTACTTCATCCTGGCAGTCAACTTTTTTGCTTTCTGTTTCCTTCTTACAGTCAATGTTGCTTTCTTTTATTAATTTACATGATGGTTCCCTTAACCAGAGGTGTAGGCTCAAGTTGCATGACTTGGACCCCACTTGAAGAACTTGGAGTCACAAATTTGATTATATTAGGCTCAACTTAAAAAATAAAAATAAAAATTGTGACACAACTTGGACCTTTTGAAGTCAAGTCCATCAATACAAGTCCTGCCCTTTCTGGAACTTCCTCCTTATTTATCAGATTAGCTTATACACTATGAGTTACACCTCTAGAACCCTCAGGTATTCAGGTAGTGGCCATTTAATCATCCCCAAAGCCAGAACAAAGACCCACAGTGAGGCTAGCTACAGAGGATGACAAGGTATTAATATGCTAGCGCTAGCTAGCTAGAGAGGACAAAGGATTACTGTGCTAATTAAACCTCACAAAAAACACTTAAATTCTTAGCCATCTATTTCAACATGTTAGACATGACACAATAAATACAGATTTAATAATGTAATATATTCAATATTCATATTTGTACTTTACTTAATATAGAATTTTTTTTAAAAGGGCACACTCATTTAAGGACATTGCATATTAGTACAGCAATTTATTATTACGTTTCTCCTATGTGTCAGAAATAAATATTAAATGGCTAAAATATTTAACAAAAACTAACAATTTGAGAGAG